AAAAAAAAAAAAAAAACATTGTTTGTATTCTGCTTTATCTTCTAGTTAACCAAATTTTTATCAGTGGTGGTTTTCAGTGTTAGGTACAAAATCCAGGACCTTGTGCTCATTAAAAAGATCCTCAACCCTTCACTCATTTTGCAGTTAAGTTTATATATTAAACACTTGGGTGTGGGGAGGGCAGGTCACTGATGTTGCAGTTTGTTAAGAAACACAAACAGAATCATCACTATGATTGAATGATAGATCCTATCAACTCTTAGCCCAATTTCCATCACATGATACCATCTTGAAAAGTTCAGTATCACAACTAGAATATCAACATCTGTATCAATATTGATAACACCATAGCATGTCATTTCTCTATCACCATGTAGATCCAATACATTGAGCTTTTATGAAGCCAATCCAATCTCCTCTTGTCCTTACTGCTCCTTAACACTTCCATGTTCTGGTTCAGTGGTTTTGTTATTACAATGATGTTATAGAAATAGAACCATTTTGTATGCTTTTCTTTTCCACTCAAGATGCTGTCCTGGATATTCATCTGGACAGGTGGACAAATTAAGAGCAATCGATTTTATTGTTGAAAGGATTTCTTTGATACCACATATTTTAGCCACTCACTCACCAAAGAACATCTTGGTTGTCTTCTTGTTTAGTTCTTACAAATCAAGGTGCTATACACAAGTGTGTTTAGGCTTTAGTGAATGAAAGTTCCTGAGGTAAGGGTTCAGAGGTGCAAATGCTGGGTTGTAAAAGGTCAGGTTTTAATGAAACCATTCCTCTGTTCTTTCACAGGCTGTGTCACTGTACAGTCCTGCCAAAGATGACTGGTGATTCAGCTTCTCAAACCCATCAAACATGTGATGTCGCTGGTTTGAAATGTCTGCTTTCTGGTGTGTACAGTGTGTCACACTGTGGTTTTAGCTTGTTTTTCCTAATGGCTAATGACATTGAACTCTGTTTTTATGATTCCTTGACACTTTCTTAAATTCTTCAGTGAAATGCATTGTCATGGCATTCATTTTATCACTGAATGGCTTGATTTCTTGTTGAGTTCTAAGAGCTTTATTGACTCAAGTATGTGGTTTGCAAATACTGACTTTTTCTATCTTGTGTGCCCAGCTATTTTTATGTTGAAATAGGTGCATATCATCAACTTTTCCTTTTATTAATAACTCGTTAGATGTTAAATCTAAGAACTCTTTACACACTTGAAGAATGAATTTCTTCTTTTTTAAAACTTCTTGATTTGGGCACAACCTAGAGTTAAGAGTAGAAAATAATGTTCCTTATTTTATTAATAACCTGGTATATATAGGTATTGAATTATAATCATCTTCTTTTTAGAAAGTTGAGATATAGTTTTAATATTCTAATGAATTTTACTGGGTGAGCCCTATTTCAAGTCACTTCTGCTTTGCTTATTATGCTCCAGATGGCATGGGCTGCATCAGATGGTAATAAGACAGAAGAAAGGGAAATGAGACTTGTCCTTGACGTTTCATCCTACATAGGAAGCAAATGTTTGAGCTTTAATGGTGTTTGTATTGTAGTTAATTTACAACAGGTTATCAGTAATAACTTAACAATATCATTTCTTGGGTAACTGAATCAAAACAATTCTAAATCTCACAAACAAAGTTATTGGGTATACATGATACCACACATTGTACCTCAATGATTAGTTTGAAATATGAAAATAGACAGAAAAGGCACAAGAAAAACTGATTTCTCTGGAAGTCTATACACTTTGCAAATGACATTCAAACGGTGCTGGTTAACTTTTGTGTTATATTTGCTGAAACCTTGGTGAGCACACGTGCAGAGTGCATGTGCATATTATAAATTTAATATGCATATTATTTTTAGAAAACTAGATATCTTTGTAAATGGTTTGTTAACCTGTTTTCATGGAAAATATTATATAACTACATCTCTACATTTTTACTAGTGGTTCTAGACAATTTTTTAAATTAATTTGGATTCTTTTACCAAATTTTTCTGCTTTACTGTGTGAGCTTCCTCTAAATATAAGTCAAAGTGCCTTTTTAGCTTTTATATACGTGTAAATAGCTTTTTTTTTTTTGGTTTTTCGAGACAGGGTTTCTCTGTGGCTTTGGAGCCTGTCCTGGAACTAGCTCTGTAGACCAGGCTGGTCTCGAACTCACAGAGATCTGCCTGCCTCTGCCTCCCGAGTGCTGGGATTAAAGGCGTGTGCCACCATCGCCCGGCTGTGTAAATAGTTCTTAATTGCTTTCTTTATCCTTTTACACATCTGGACATCTGGAATTTTTACATAATATTATAGCTATACACAATTTATAACCCATCAATAGAAACAGGTAACTTTGAAAATATGCTTTTATACTTACACTTGATGCCCAAGAAAATGGATGTTGCTAATAAGCCCACACAGAACACACAGGAAATCACCGTCACGACACAGCATATTCCTAAATGTGAAATCAGAACAATGACAAAAGTTAGAGAAAGCAATTGCAAGGGATGGGTAGAGACAATGTCAGGATGAGTAGGAAGGATTGTTCCTTCCTACTGTAGAAATAAAAAGACTTGAAACTCTATTAGGAAAAGGAGAATATTTGCTTCAGTTCTCTCAAATAAACCTTATAGCCTTGCATGCATCTGACATGGAAGATACCCAATTCACTAGACTTAATATCATAACTCTGTGATCTTAATGTACAATATTATGACTTTAATAAGCAATTACATATATCTATTTATTTATTTACTACCTATTTTTTCAATAATCTCAATAATGGCAACTAGGAAAGCTTAAGTTCTTAACATCAAGACTCTCTTACCTGTTTTCAGAATTTCTTGAACATGACTCATTAAACTATTTTAGTTTTAATGAGCAGTTTAGAAAATGAACAAAAAATTTCAGCTCAGTTTTCAACTCTTGATGGAGGAAAGGTGAGTGACGTGGCTTCTTAAATTATTCATATTAATCAAAGAAAAATAAAATAGATCCTCACATGTTGTGATAGACCAGATAATGCATTGCCTGGGATCATCCCTGGAACCTTGAAATGGTGCTGTATGTGACAAAAGAGATTCTGAGGCTAGTGCTGGACTGGGGATCTGGTATTGGGAAGTCAGCCTCAATCAGTGAATTTGTAACAAGTCAGTACTAAAGACTTAACTGTGTAACTACTTGGGAAAACTTAATAAAGCACTTTTAAAGTCCACCAAATTAGTTGATGTATGATATTATATGTGACATCTAGTTGATGAATTAAAGAGATGATGGTAAAAATTAAAAACTTACGTATTTGAAAATATTCTGTGCTATAGAGTTTTAAATAAAAATACGATAAGATATAGAAATAGGCATTAAATAATACAAACATAATTGCATCCACATGAAGGATTCTTTTCTAGTTTTTCAACTGTTCCCTACATTTCTTGGTATTTGTCAGACAATTTCCTGAGCATTTCATGAAAAAACTAAAATAATTAAAATTGTATGATTTCTTTCACCTATTTTCAAACTTGAGAGAGAGGGAATATATCATATATCCTGAGTCCAGTGCCCTTTTTCATTTTCATTTGTACTCGTTCATCCATTCCAGTGAATGTATCAGGCATACGAGAATGCTCTAAAGAGCTTATCTCAGATTAGAAGAAAGGCCATGGGTTCATCACAGAACACACACAGAAAAACTTCTAGTTTTCTATTACACACTCTGAATGTATTACCTGAACATTTGCTAGAAGACAGACATTTCTGAGCAGCCTCTGAGGGTGGACTATCCCACTGAAGAGAGCTGTATATCTCCTCCTCGTGCATGCTGAAGGTGCTTGGAGAAGTAAAGCAGCCTACACAGAAGCCTGGCAGAAAGAACTCCTCTTTTGATTAGGAGTAGGTTGGTACAGAAAACAGAACTGACTACTTTTTCACAGCTGTAAAATGCACTGGAGATTAAGGTGCAGAGTAGGAACATCATCCATCATCATCCAGAAAGTGGAAGCTTTAAAGTTTAAACTTAAACATAACACAATAAAGGAAGAAATGAGAGTGTACTAAACTCAAAATGGCTATGGTAAAATTATACTGTTGCTCCAATTCCCTTACAGTAGCTGATGCTGAAGATGAAATACACAGAACAAACTTCAGTCTAGTGTAGAATACGAAGCACAAAGATGACTCAGGGAACAAATATAAAGGCAGTCCAAGCTAGGCAAACCAACTTGTACATAGCTTTTGGGTTTCCAAAGAAGGAAACGTGGAAGGGATTACATCCCTAAATTCATTTCCAACCAGTCTACCAGTTAGGATAATACTGACTGCTAAGATGATAAGTAAACTTCAAAATAACAGTCAACACTGTGATTGTTTAGACCTCCCTCATAGTTTGTCCCCAAGGACAGAGCTCTCTCTCCCAGAAGAGGCCTGGGTTATTTCCATATTCTTGAATGTTGGAGCCGTGTTGAAGGGAAAGAGGAGGTGACAAACCCACAACTGTATCTTGAAAGCAATGGCCTAGAAGTAATATGAATTACAGCACCCCTATCCATTGCATTTCCACATTGATCATGAAGATTGAGTTTGCTCGGGCAGCAGCATCTAGAGATAACTTTACTCTTGGAGGAAGAATCACTTATTTACTGGACAGATAACCATTTTCATCACATCTTCTGACTACAGCATTGGTACTGAGAAATTTGATCTCTTAAACATCATTTATCTCTAGGCCTCTTGTCCTTATGTCCAAAGGTCACTTCTCAGTAATTTATAGTCCATACAACTTGCAAAGTTGCATGTTCTTTTTTTATTTTAGAGTCTCAGTAGATCAATTGTTCTTCATCACAAATGGCACACTCAAGAGGTATTGTAAGGGAACTCAATAATAAGACTACAGTTTGGGGAAAGGTTAATAATAAAGCCAAAGGCAGGATAATAAAGCATGCATTGTAGAACTGATGTCAACCGTGGCCTAAAGCACAAAGGAGGGTGCACACTAGGACTTTGTGGTCTGCCTCACTAGAGCTAGGGTCTGGGATTCAGACTAACCAAACCAAAACGTGGAGCGAGTTTGAATTATACATCTGACCATGCCTCCATGTCTCTCAGAGACTGAGTTTATTCGTAAAATATATTCTATTTATTATATTTAGCTTCCTGAGACACAAGGGGTAGGTCGGGTCATTAGGGACAAATAAAAAGCATCCAGCACATTCTGCCAACATTTTCTGTGCAGTTCCTATTCTGAAAACAGAATGACTGAACTTCAGATAAACTTTTGCATATGTTAAATTCTACCAGGAGGAAAAAAGAGGAAGAAACACAACAACAAATAAGATCACAACTAACCCCAGAAACCAGAGCTCCATCCACTGCTGCTCATTTCTAGTTTCTCTTCTCATTTTATCAGCACTGAAACCCAAGCTTGGATAGATCCAGTATTTCCCAGGACATTCCACTCCTGGTAAATTTTTATCATTCATTGGCTTCTCCCAACAAAAGATCCATATGCTACACGTAGTGCTGCCGTTCTTAGCCGCTTGTTTGTTTCAGATAATATTATTGTTTGTCATTCATTGCATTTTTAAGAATTTTAAAGTCCTATCACAAGAATTACTTCCTCACTGCAGCTCTATGAGTCAGGAGGAGTAAGTGGGCTGTAACTTAGGGTATAGAGAAGTCCATCCATTTAGTGAGTTTCATGCTGAGTGTCTGAAATGGAATGATGGATTGCTCTGATTGTCGAACCTGGGCTGTTCTCATTTCACAATATGGTTTAAACATAACTGATAAGGAAGAAGAGGTCTTGTAGCTAAAGTGTGGTTGGTTTCACCTTCTGTGTATGTTTAACAGGTCTTTAAACATGTTCCCTCTAAACCTGTATGTGATGTAGTAATATATAAATATGTCTTTTCCATACTAAGAGACGAAAAATGCTAAAGTCTAGGCACAGGGTTGATGTTTGGATAGTTCCTGAATTATTAGTTTCCACTTGGTTTCTGTAAATAGACAGTTACAATCAAGCCCTGAACCCCCAGCTACAGAGAAAAGGAGAAAAAGCCAAGACTTTCCATCTAGCAAGGTCAAGATCTTGGCATTTGCTATCAAGAGATCAAAGAAATTCTGTTGTTTTTCTGTAGCTCAGAACTCTATTTCCTTATGGAGAGTCAAAAATCAACCAAGGATTTGTTGGTTGGTGTAGAACTGTGAAACTAACATGTATTATTTGAATATTGCTTGCTTGATGCTCTGATCAATATTTTATATAATTACATCAAAGATCAACACAATTCTCTTCTGGATAAGGTAACTCCTCACTATATAAGCTAGGGAACAGTGTTAAAGAGTCTAAATCATTTGTCCCAAACCACACATGGAATACGTGTTAAGGTAACATTTATTGAAAGGTACTAGGAGCTGACAGCTTACAATAGGGTCACGGGAATGTGTGTTAAAACAGATTTCCTTGTCTCCTCAGCCTTCTGAGCACGTTCAGTTTTCACAGAGACCTCAGCTGAGATGAATTGTATTCATGATCCTACTTTGTCATTACTTAAACAAAGGAAGCTGTGGGGAGAAAGCACAAATTCTGCCTCTTATCCTGTTAGAGGTGCTTCCTCACAGGCCCTATAAATACTTCTGAGTTATTCAGCAAACACCAAACATAGAACCATCAGGAAAAGGACCAGATAAAAACTTCTGCTTCTTCTTCTGCCTTCTGTACACTGTTTTGCCAATAAATATTAATTGGTTTTATAAACCCCATGAGGTCTTCCTCAAATCCAGCTTCCTTGTGTTGTAAAGAAGGTGACCACTACTGAGAGAAAAGAGATGTGAACTGGGGAGAGTGAACTTTTGTCTCCTAGGATAACTTCCTTGAGTCAGGGACATGCTTGGTGCTCGTCACAGACAATGGACTGTCAAGTCATGGGGACCATATTCATGGAGTTTTTGGTATCAGTAGTCTGAAAATTTCTTGTAAGTATATAAATTATACAGATAATTGAAATTGTATGGTCATTGTATAAATATAAAACTCTGAGGTCTATTTTTTGGTGAAATATATAAGATAGGCAATATCATAAACTTTAATTTATTTTAGCATTTATACACACACACACACACACTCACTCAGGTTTGTTTTCCAGCTCCCAAACCAACCTATTTTAAGTATGAGAAGATGGAAGTTAAACGAAATACAAAATTGTCTCATTAGCTAGGCACATCCCTTTAACAACAGCATTTGGAATGCAAAGGAAGGCACCTGGTCTACAAAGTTAGTTTCAGGAGAGATAAGGCTCCAAAGTAAGGCCCTGTCTCAAAAATAGATAGATAGATAGATAGATAGATAGATAGATAGATAGATAGATAGATAGATAGATGAATTTCTTCATGGTTGTTCTTCGGTTAAGGGGTCATACCATTTAAACTATTGTAAAGATTCAGTCTACATTATTTATACTGTCACATGATGCATTTTTAAACTATGATGTTTTTACACAGTGCTGTCTTCTGTGCCCTATTCTAATTTAATTTTATGGTGTATATTTGAAGATGCAGTGGATTACATACATGATGTTAAGAAAATTAGAAATGGAAAGGGAAAAGGAAAGTAAATAGAACGTGAAATACTGAAAAGCACTAGCTCTGCTCACTTTATGTTTTTTGATATGCAGAGAAAGGACGAGATATGTGGTATAAGGATGATATAAAAAACAAAATAAACAGTTTTATGACTGGGGAATTCTTTCGCCCAGATCTTTTATTGCATGACCAACCACTTATCTGACATCCTGTTCATTCTTCTGCATTAAAGCAGTTGGTCTACTCTTGTCAGGCCAGCCTTCCTCTCACACATTAAAAAATTTTTGTCCTCACAGGAAGCTGGATGGATTTTCCCATTATAAAGATAAGCGCAATTCATGTTTTCTCTTGTATTCCCAGAAAGATCAATCCTGCAAATGAGAAAGGAAGAGAGCATTAACAAAAAAATCAGTACTTAAGAAAGCAAGGAACATGCATGTTTTGCTGATCAAACTAGAGGCTTGAGGTGGGCAAAAAAAAAAAAAAAAAACCAGCATATGTATCTTTGAGAAACCCTTTATCCACTGCATACTTGAAAAGTTCAGTAACGATTTAGTACAGTGTAAGTCAGGAGAAAGTCAATACAAGTACAAGAGGAGTCCAGAGGAGGAGGCACATTGTGCTCTGGCAGGCCAAGCAAAGCTTTATCTACAATTTACTTTGGGTCGGTGTTGAAATAAGATTCAATTTTAAATGAGCAAAGAGGAAATGGGATGTTCTTATAGAGACAGCAGCTAGCTGCACAACATGGGGAAATCCTCAAGAAGTAAGATGGGCTAAGTACTGTAGAGCTGAGAACTAACAGCGCCTGGTAAATGTCTGAAAGTTTGTCTCTATTCCCCAAATAATTGTTTACAATGAGAGACAAGGGAAGTATGTTTAATTTACTTGGAAGACAATTATGGACACCAAACAATGAGTTGTCAAAATAGTTTAGTGATTAAGGAGTAAAGACAAGGTCTCTTCTTTTTAAAAACTCAAATTCCAATGAGGAGGAATTGGTATAATGCCCAGAGAAAAGCAGACAGGAAAATGTCAGAAAGTTGTAAGAGCCATGAGACAATAAAACAATAAAGAGAAAACAGGGCAGGTGTGTGCCGAAAGGAGCAGGATTTAGTGTGAGCCATTAGAGTTGCTCTCACTGAGAAAGTGGCCTTCAAATAGCCTTGACCAACAGAGATGGCTTCGTCAAGAAATGTAGAAGGGAAAGGGGAATTTGACTCCTTGAGAATTTAGAGAGAACACCACTTTGCTGCAATATTGTGAGCAAGGTAGTAAGCAATGAGCAATAAGCTCAAGGTTTGCAGGAGGTTTGTGTGTATTTGTGTGTTCTGGGATTCTATCCAAGGTAAATCATAAATAATATGTTGACTTAATTGTCTATTTACATAATAAAATTGTATAAGCTTTTATCATAATTTCTAGACAGGGAGAATGTAGCATTGTTAAAAATAAACAAAAGATGTTGAAATTAGTGATTAGAGGGCCATATGGAGAGCCAGCAAGATGGTTCATGGGGAAAGGTGCTTACTCACAAGTCTGCTGACCTGTATTTGATTTCCAGGACCTACATGGTGGAAGCAGAAAACCAACTCCCTAAAGTTGTCCTCTTTCCTACATTCACATAAATTATGGTATGTAAATATTCTCTCTCTCTCTCTCTCTCTCTCTCACACACACACACACACACAATAAATTTTAAATTTTAAAAAATTAAGGAGAAACAGAGTCATATTGAATAACACAACTCTTAATGAAATGAGGTCATTTGCCTACAATGCCATTAGAAGGGTGGAACCTCATTGTATGACATTAGAATTGCCTTGTGATCTACAATGTACCTGATTTGTGGAGATTCATAGGTCAAAAAGATACTGAAAATATCCTTGATGTAAATATTCTAATCATAAAATAGTGAAAAGGATAAATTTATTCTCAAAGCACACAAAAAAAATCAACCAATTTACACACACACACACACATGCATGCACAAAGTGTGGGGGGGAGATTAGTCACATATGACTGGCAGCTACAACCTGCAGTGGGGTAGTCAGGCAACTTGTGTTCAACAAGAAATATGGGACTCAAAACTTTGTGCAATGCCTTCTAGC